ATATATTCTTGGTTTGTCCACGTGGTTTGTAGGAAGACCGGTGTGCAGGCGGCTACAATAGAATCCTTTGCACGTTCGAAAAGGCGAGAATTCTGTCATGTAAGTCTAATAACTTTATGTTACTCACAGGAACACGAAACATGAACTTTTCCGGTGGGTAACATTAAGTTATCAGAAATCCGTTTTACACGACTACAGGAGGCGATATTGTTCCGTCAAGCCGGGCAAGGATAGTGAGTCCGGCGACCTTCGTTGTTATTAAGTGGAGCCAGAGCCGAACTATCACCATCTGTCCAGCCGCTGTCTGAAGAAGTGAATCACGTTATTCCCTTATGCCACAACCTCCAGTCATTCAGGTCGGTTATAATGCTAGCTGGGACAACTGGCAACTACTATAGACCTCCTTTGACGGTGATTAGTTTTCCCTTGATTGACTTGAAGTGCAATTTATTCGTCATATTTTAATAATAGTTCCGAAAGAGTGTTTTTATTTCCTCACTTGTGCGTCTTTTAACCTTAGAATTCATGGAATGCAAAGCAGAACCATACTCGGGTGGACCCGGGGACTTTTTAGATATCCCTGCAGCAGAACAAGAAATAACTGTTGGATCCAATGAACCTGCTACTACAAACGTCAACAACTCGATTGTGCAGAATGTCGTTTCAATGCCTTCAGAGAACGTTTTTCAGCAAGTTAGCCATCCAGTCGTACGGATGGCGGCACCTGGAGCAGTTCGTGCACCCCGAGTAATCATGGTCCAGCGTACCGGTCAGCCAATGGGGTCTGCAACACCTGGTGCACCTGGTGGTCAGGGCATTCGGGTAAGCAGTACTCTCTCACCTTACCGCTGTCCTCTTTTTTATTTCAACGCCAAATACTTGCTTTTACCTATTAATTTTTGCCTCGTCGTCACGGACAGCGGTCTACCCTGTGGGACCGATGTTAACGTTGATGCCTACGCATGTATTCACGAAGCTGAGCCCTATCAATTATTGGCTTATTAAGAGC